CTGCAATTCTGAGTACGGCAACAGAGACTGACTGGCCCTCATTGCAAGCAGCAGATCCAGATTTGCAGATTATTTACCAAAGACAATTGCACGGGAACAATAGGCCGTCCATGAAGGAGTTAAGAGACCAAACCCTCGCCACGCGTCGGATTTGTAACAAATGGAGCAGTTTAAAGCTATATGGTAACACGTTATTCCTAATTAATGAGTCCAGACAACCCCTGCTTATAGTACCGCAAGTAAAGACACAGAGTATTGTAGAGCAAGTTCATCGTGAACTCGGCCATGCAGGAGAACGAAGAACTGAGCATGCTGTTCGACAGCGCTTTTGGTGGCCATCTATTCATGAAGATGTAACCGACTTCTGCAAAAATTGTAACACGTGCTGTCGTATAAAATCGCCCAAGCAAACACCACGCGCACCGTTAATGCCAATGAGAACGACTGGACCGCACCAGCGCGTTGGTATTGATATTATGGGACCATTGACGACGACGAAGAAAGGAAATCGCTACATATTAGTTATGGTAGACTATTTCACTAAATGGTGCGAAGCAGTACCCATTCCACAACAAGACGCCCTAACTGTCTCACGGGCTTTCATTGATCATTGGGTATCCCGTTATGGTGCCCCATTCTCACTCCACTCCGACCAAGGTCCGGCCTTCGAAAGTCATCTGATTGCTGAAATATGCAAGCTATTGGGGATACGGAAGACACATACTACCGCATATCATCCAGAAGGTAACGGCCTAGTTGAGAGGACAAATAGAACCATTAAAGCTATTTTACAATCGTTCGTCAGCAGATCGTCATCTGAGTTGTGGGACGAAGTGCTCCCTCAATGCATGCTAGCTTATCGAACATCGGTACATGGGTCTACGGGATTCTCACCTGCTGTCCTACTATTCGGGCATGAGCTACGCCTCCCGGTTGAGATTCAGTCGCCTTTACTACCGTACGAAGAACAGGAACATGTCCCGTACATCCGCACTCTCCGTAACCGCCTGGCCGATGCATACCGTTTAGTCAACGTCAACTCGCGCAGGGCTAGCGGCCATCAAAAAGATATGTATGATCGCCAAGTGCGAGGACCGGTGTATAAAGTTGGAGACCGTGTCTGGTTACGCCGCCCCATGACATCAACAGGAAGTTGCAGTAAATTTCACCAACCTTGGCATGGCCCCTTCGAAATCGTCCTCATCCGATCCCCCACGACGTTTGTGTTACGTAATCCGCAACGACCTCAGGACGATGTAATAACGGTGCACTACAATCAAATAAAGCTAGATCGAACAACCGTACCTGCTGATGCCCGATTCACAGACCCACCACCTGCTACCAGTTTTTATGAGATACCGGCTGAAGGAGGAGCAGCGTACCCTTGTCCGAGACCAGGCACTGAGGACAGTGCCTCATTGAGAGAGGGGGTGGTGTAACGGAGTCAAAATCACTATGTGTGATGTTGCTAACTTGTTCTGTTTTCTTTCTGCTTCAAAGCGATCAAACACAAATGCTTTGGAAGCCGAAGAGCAAGCCCTGAGTGCTCTAAACCTACAAGATGACTCATAAGACCTTGGTACTACCCCCACCCTCTTCCTGTAAGAACCCCCGCGTTTTTGATTTTGAAAATAAAGAGTGCCGTGACAACAGCCTTGTGTTCTCTCTTGGTGTGAGGTGTCGAATTAAACTTGTGTGTTGCGATTTCAGATTTCTTCTGTCTTTCACTGACTG